GGCTCTTCCCCGTCAAAGTCCTGGGAACCCGGCGCAGCCCCAGCCGGGACCCAGAGCGCGGGGACTGCGCCCCAGAAGGGAGCTGCGTTGCCTTTCCAAGCCGACGAGCTCTTTGCGCTAGGCCTCGGCGACCGGGCCGGCCACCCGGACTGGCGAGCTAGGGGCCCCGTGGCCTGGGTTCGCTGAGAGGCCAGCCCCCTCCCAGGAGCTGGGGGCTCGCGAGCTCGGCCAGCGAGACCCGAGCTGGGCACTCTGGGCTCAGAGAGTGAGCAAGGAGCCCCCAACTTTCCTTGGCTACAGAGAGCTGGTGCTGGGGGGAGGGGGGGGTGTGGGGGGAACCGGAGAGGTAGAGACAGAAGTTGGGGGCGGAGGAGAGAGATTTAGCGCTGGGTGAGCTTGGAAGAACCATTAGGGTTAATTGCTGACTGCCCAGCCAAACCCAGACCTCTGCCCGTGAGGCACAGCCTCACATTGTATCTCGGAGGACCAAACATGAATGCTTTAGCCCCCACCGATCTGTGTTTCCTGCCTAAGTTATTTATTCGGGAAGATTGGTACAGATGTCTCGCCTAAGCCCTCCCCCCACCCCGAAGAAGAACGAATCTTATTTCCTTCTCTTTGAATTGCAAGAACGCTTTAGTGACCTGAGCTCACGTGTTTGATCTGACGGTAGTTGTAAAAGGAATAATTTTTGAAAGCAACTTGTTACATAACCACTGATTGCTCACAGCAGATCTGAAAGCGTTTGTAGAACCCAGTGCACCCCATAGCGACTTTAGTACTTTGCCTCGGCTTTTTGCAACCATCTTTTAATCAAGAATGCAATTAGGTCCTAAAGTCATTGTCGTAGTTGAGGTTTGCACGAAAATATTTAATGCCAGTCGACGGTTCACCCACCACGGTTGGTGTCCAATTGCCACGCAGGTATTCCTTCAAAGCGGTTGGGTCTGTTCAGCTATCCAAGAGACTCATACTCTGTTTCCCTTTTCAGGCACCTTTGCAGTCAAACCAAGAGGATGAGAATTGTTGCATTTGCAAAAGCTAATAGGAATGCAAACATTCTTGTGCTGAACGGTAAACTCTGTGTTTCATCTTGCAGACTTCAGCTTGAGATAGACTTTTTGAGGTCATCGGTTTAAGCCCACACATAGGAAATACGGCCAAACAAAAAGTCTATCTAAAGTTAAAAATATTTGTAAAAAATTCCAATTAAAAAAAAAAAAGTATCTTACAGACAGATGAGTCCAGAAAGCAAAATGGTAAACAACACTGTCTCCCCGTTCCTTAGGTAAAGTACAGGTTCAAAGGGGACTCTGTGTGCCCATGTGATGGAGGATATTTTTTAAAAATCAGAAAAACAAAGCAGGCCGGGAAACAGAGGAAGCATGTTTTTAATATTCAACATCCATCTTGCAGTGTCATTTCAGAATGACTGCGCTCAGATGTGGCCCGGGCACATCCTTTTGGGATAGGAAACTACTTTTACAGAGGAGCCTTCCAAAAGTGACTTTCACTGTCTTCTCTTTGGACCTGGGCAGGAGCCCACCCTGGAGAGGTCTGTGATGGTGTCAGGGAAGGGGGATGTCAGGGGTATATCGGGCCATATGGATGTTGACTAAGTAAAGAGCTGAGATCTACAAGAAAACTGATCCCAGGCTGGATTCCCTAGGTCAAAAAAGACCTGGAAAATCAAGAGGCTTCCCTGCCATTGTCCCAGAGAAAATAATGCAGCCCCTGCCTGGTGTGCTTTTATTCGTTCAAAGGGACAGTAAATATGTGATAACTTGGAAACTTTCGCTCTATACAAAACGATGCCTGGGTATTTCCTGATGTCCAATTCCTCGGATAATTAAAGCATTACTAATACTCTTGCATTCTGTGAGTCACTAAGAACAAAGACGAAGAGGCATGGAGATTCCTCATTTTCCGAACAGTTCAACTCCACAAACCCTCCTGGGCTGCCATCCGCAGGCAGCCACCCTGCGAGCCATTACCGGTACACACTGTGGGTTTCGTTTTACAAAGGTGGGTATAGTTACCAAGGCCAGATCGGTTCTTGGTGGATTTATGAACCTGCGCCATCAAACCATGTAGCCTTGGGGCCATGAAAGTCTTTCTGACTTCAGAGTTTCAAGGTTATTAAATGCTAAATATTTCTGTCCAATTACCCATCACAAATTCAGGTTTGAAAAACAATACTTGGGTGATCTCTTTGTGTTTCCTGCTGCTTTCTGTAGAGAACTCGTACAATACCATGAGTGTTTTTTTGGAAAGAAGGAGCCATGAAATACTGTCGAAGTTATAAGTAGACTCCAAGCTTATCCTATCCAAATTGGTACGTATGAGTGGCCCTGGGTCCTGGGTCCCTGCTCCCATGACGAGATCGATGTGACTTTATTGCTTACAGTAAGTGATTGTCCACTTTGCTCAACATCTTTATTTTCACTTTTCAAGGTCAGAACCAAACTCACAAGCTTCACATTCATTTATCTACTTCCTCTTTTTTCCCCTTCTCTCTCTCCTTTCTTCATTTTTAAGTTATTGTCATAGGTGCCCGTGCTCACTAGAGAAAAAGAGACAAAAGGAAAGTGAGACATCATCCCCTGGCGGAACGGCCCGGTCACAGTCCCTTCTCTTCCACTCTCCTCTCAGAATTTCAGGCACAAAGGTACACGCACCCAGCATGATTTTCAAGCTGTGGGGTCAAGGACTTGAACTACAGTTGGTCATGTGTGAGTCCATCATCTTAACCACCATGCCACCTGCTGGCCCCTTCTCCTTCTCTCTCTCTCTTTTTTGGAGAGTTTTTTGCTATAGGGCGTGTGTGCTCGCCAGAAAGACAGAGAGAGAGACAGAGAAACAGAAAGCCAGAAATCACCCCCCCAGGGGGGATGGCCACACCGCAATCCCTTTTCCTCCATTCTCCTCCTGGGATCTTGGGAACACATATGCACGCACCCGGCATGAGTTTAAGCCACCGGGTCCAGGACTCAAACTGCGGTCAACTACATGGGATTCTAGTGACATAGCCATTACACCAACTGCTGTCCCCTTCCCCTTCTCTCTTAAGTTAATGGTGAAAGTGAACTTCAGGCTCATAGTCTTACAGGAGAATTTTAGAAGAAAAAGAGAGTAATCTGTCTCAAAGGTTGAGAAGCAGTATTCTAGCTCCCTGGGGCTCCCACCCCAGAGACTGTATTGATGTACTCCCAGCAACACACCTGAGGACAGGGCTAGACTGCTGTCACTGGGTCTCCTGCAGGTCCCTGAAAGCCCTCACAGAGTTCTACACATATTCAGCATTAAAGAAATAGTCAATATCGAAGCTACCTAACTTCAAGCTTGATGGGAAGAAACACATTCTTGATTAGAACTGACAACTTGTGGAATATTCAGGCCTGGCACTTTTTTTTCTTTTTCTTTTTTTTTTTTTTCTAAACAAAAATCTGGCTTCAGTGAAGTCTTTGTTTCAACCGTTTGGACACATTTTACCTTCTTTTGGGAGTCTGTGAGCATTCTATTCTCACACCAACAGGTTTCCTGGGCGTTTGAGAAATCCTATCACCAGCTGTGGTTCTGTTTGTCTGGGTGGACTGATAATTCTCTCTCCGTAGCAGATAACGGATGTGTGTAGTAGGTTACGCTGCTATTTTAGAGTGCTGAAGGACTGGCAGTCAGAGACCTGGACAGGTCAGCTCGGGCCCACCTCTGGGGGAGTTCTCTCCATGCTGAATGAAACCACAGAGAAGCTCATAACGTGGAATAGAAGTTTGAAACTGTTCTTCAGTTATTTAAGTCATAATGTCTCTTTTACACCCCAAATCCCCAATCAGAAAACAGAGACGGACTATTGAGGGGATAAGGCCAGGACAAAAATGAAAAGGGCTGGGACACAAAAGTTCATTGTCAGCTTCCCCCTGCGGATGATTTCATCCTGCCCGTGTAGAAGTGACATCCTAAATCCAACTGGATTGTCAGAAAAGTTGGGATGCATTTTTGCATAGGAAAATGTGGCGTGACTTTCCTGATGACCTACTACGACATAGAAAGCCAGGAAGAGAACACAAATAATTGAAGCCCACTGTTGCTTTACCTTTGAACATCAGCACGTAGTTTGATTGTAAGTCTTTAAACTGGACGGGCCCTGACCTGCTCCGTTCTTTTCAGGGAACTGATGGCACTGCCCAAATGTCCTCCATGATGTCTCTCATGATGACAGTCATCTTGCTGATGTTGCTTGTGGGCTGAGCAGAGTGCCATGGAAGTGGCCCTGGGTAAGACAGGAGACCCGGGGCCTACAGCACACAGTCAATGGCCAGCTCCACGGCCTTGTTGGGTTGCTCCGTTGCACAGCACAGGTGTGGTTAGAAGTTCTGGTGGTCTTTCCTGAGCAGATGTACCCTAGGAGGGAGGATGCTCATCTTACCCTTCATTTAACGATATATGCAGTCACCTTGGACTCAGGAGATGACCTGGTGTTAATACTTCAGTGTTACTCTTTACATTTTAATTTAAACTTGAGATCATTTTGTAAGATTGATATTTTCTCTGATAGCAAAGAAAACATGTATTTATGATAAAAAAATATATAAAAGCATTAAGATATATTAAGAAGAAAAGAAAAATCACCCACAGTTCTACTCCTCAGAATAACTGCTGACATCTTTTTTGTTTTGTTTTGGCCATAGGGTGTATGCTCTCACTGGAGAGAGACAGAGAGGGACAGTGAGGAAAAGTAAAGATCACCCCCCAGGAAGGATGGCCACACAGGAATCCCTTCTCTTTCATTCTCCTCTCAGGATTTTGTGCACACATGCACACACGCTCAGTGTGATTTTCTTTTTCTTTTTCTTTTCTTTTTATTTTTTGAGAGGTTTTTGCTATAGAGTGTGTGCACTCGCCAGAAAGACAGAGACAGAGAGAAAGAAAGTGAGAAATCACCCCTGGAGGGATGGCTATGCTGCAATCCCCTCTTCTCCATTTTCCTCTTGGGATCTTGGGCACACATGCATAGGTACCCGGTGTGAGTTTAAGCCACCAGGCCCAGGACTTAAACTGTGGTTGACTACATGGGAGTCCAGTGACATAGCCATTACGCTAACTGCGGGTCCTCCGGGGTGATTTTCAAGCTGCTGAGTCCAGGACTCAAACTGAGGTCAGCCATGTGGGAATCCAGTACTTTAACCACCATGCCACCTGCTGGCCCCAACTGCTAATATTTGGAGAATCTACTTCCAAGATTTTCTTGTACATAGCATACACACATAATGTATAAACATAAGTTACACTCTACATGCTGTTTTATCATCAGCTTTTTTATCCACTACTATATGGTGAATATTTTTCCTTATCATTGAAATCGTTTTCACAATTCATTTCAAATGTCCAAATAACACTGTATCACGTCAACACCCCCCAATTTATTGAAGCAATCTCCTTCTGTTTGGCATTTATATTGTTTGCAAGAATCCCCCATTATAAAGGGCTCTGAAATTACTACCCTTGTAGATAATTCTTCTTGCACATCTTTTTTTTTTTTTGAGAGATTTTCACTGTAGGGCGCGTGCGCTTGCCAGACAGACAGAGAGAGACATAGAGACAGAAAGCAAGAAATCACCCCCCAGGGGGGATGGCCACGCCGCAATCCCTTCTCCTCCATTCTCCTCTCGGGATCTTGGGCACGCACGCACACGCGCCCGGCGTGAGTTTTAAGCCACCGGGTCCGGGACACGAACCACGGTCGACTACGTGGGAGTCCAGTGACATAGCCATTACGCTAACTGCTGGTTCCCTTCTTGTACATCTTGATTATTTCCTAAGGCTGATTCCATAAGGGACTTTAGTTTGTCTCCTGATAATCCCCTGCTTCCTAAATAATGTTTGGCACACAGTCAGTGAGTAAATATTTATTGAATAAATGAATAAACCCATACGAGTTTATACATGAGGTTGAAGGGCGTGCCCATATTGAGATCACTGAATATGCATTGCTAATTTGTCCTCTAATTTGAATCAGGTCTTATTTCTACCTGCAGCATGTGAAGTCAGTTTTCTGAATCCTCGCTGCTAAATAACAGAATGACTTTGGACGAAAATGAGAAAAGTTGTAACTTGCACTGGCTTAAACAATCAAAAGAAATTTATGGTCTCCTATTACTGGGAAGTTCACCCACAGGCAGAGCAGTCTTCGGGTGTGACTGGGAGCCAAGGGAATATCATTGCTGCTTGGCTTGAGCCTGGGTTCCATTCTGTTTTCCCTTTTGGGGACACATCCCCAAGGCACAGAGATGAGTTGACAGTGACTGATCCATGATGCCCTATCCCTGGAAGAGGCACGTAGTGAACCTCACTGCTTTGGTTTGGATATGGTTCGTCTCTCAAATATTCACGTGCTGGAGACTTGGTCTTCAGTGGAATGGTGCTGGGAGGAAGCAGGACTTAGGCAGCAGTGCTTACTGAGACCTTTCCCCCCTTCAATGTGTGAGAGCTCTTTGAAGAGCTTTTTGATAGACTCGTGCCGTCCAACTCATCCTCTGGTCTAATCATTTTGAAATTGAGAAAACCAAGGGCTCCCAAAGGGTTAAACATTTAGCAAAGGACTCTACTAGGATTCAAAGGAGCTCTATTTACCTTAAAAACAAACAAACAAACAAACAAACAAAAAACACACTATTAAATTTAGGGCTAGCAGGTGGTGGGGTGGTTAAGGCTCTGGATCCCACATGGTCAGCTATGCAGTTCGAGTCTCTGACTTGGTGCCTTGAAAAACTCACCTGAATGTGTGTCTGTGTGTCCAAAACCCCGAGAGAACAATATAGGAGTAGGGATTGCTGCGTAACCATCCCCTGTGGGGTGATGTCTCACTTTCCCTCTCTTTCTGTTTCTCTCTCTGAGGCGGAATGTTATGTGCACTTTCTTGACAGCTTCTCTCTAGTTTTTCTTTACCTGGTACCTATTCTCCAAGTCCCTTGATAGATTCAATCTCTGATCTCTGCTTCTTCTGCCCAAAGAAACTAATACCGACTACTTGGGCTCTATTTCCCTGTGCAGGGATTGAAAACATAACTTCAGGAAGAATCTCAGTGAATGTGGGACTGAGCTCATGCGTTCCCCATCACAAATTGCTCGCTGTTCAGTGCCTTCCAACAGCTGATTTCATCCAGCTTTCATCGTTTGTATTTAATGGTGTGAGAATAAGTTTTTATCATGGCTTCAACCAGAATTCCTTTACATCAATTATAGATGTGAATGTTTTTGGTGAGAAGTCCTTTACATTAAAAATATTAATGTAGGCACCAGCAGATGGTGTAATGGTTACATCACTAGACTCCCATATAGTCAACAGCAGTTTGAGTTCCAGAACCAGAGGCTTAAAACTCACACCAGACGTGTGGAAATGCATGCCCTAAATCCTGAGGAGAATGGGGGAGAAGCGTTTGTGGTGTGGTCATCCCCCCCAGGGGGTGATGTTTTGCTTTCTATCTCTGTCTCTCTTTCTCTCCAGAAAGTGAATGCACCTCATAGTAAAAATCTCTCTTTAAAAAATATATTATTTCTTCATTTTCTTTTTGTACTTTGTCAGGCAAGTAAGTCTTGAGACCTGTTATGTTGCAGTTTGTTTATTTATAATTCATCTATTTTTCAGAGACCAGGCCTTGCTATAGAACCCAGGCTGGCCTAAAACTCACATGCTCCTGCTTCAGTACCAATAGGTGGGCTGACAGGTGGGTGCCACACACCTGGCTTGGTGTATTTATTATATTGACTTCCTGGCAAACTTGTATCAAAAATGCAGACTTCTCTGTTTGTAAGGTACGTATTTATGCAGAAAAATCTGTTGGAATAAATAAATATCTTATTCATACTAAATTTTTGCTAAAGCCAAAAAACGAAGAAACTGTTTGTTTTCATGATGAGAATTTGAAATACTGAGGCAGTCAACACATCATGGGTTCAGCGTTCATGTCTACTCCCTAACCATCAATTTCTCGGAACGTTTGTGTAAAATCGATTGTAACGTCTCAGAGTTTTAACCTACTGCCTATTTGTATTGAACATGACACTTGGAATAGTTTAAAGGAGTGGAAGTCAAGGACCAGCTGGTGATTAAGGAAGCTGGATCCTGCATGGGCAACTGCTCGGTTTGAGTCCTGGACCTGGAAGCTTGAAAACACTCTGGGGACGGATGTGTGCATGGCCAAAATCCTGGAGAAGAGGCTGGAGGAGAGGGGAGTGTGGTACAGCTGTCTCCCCCTAGTGGTGGTGTAACTTCTCACTTTCCCTCTCTGTCTCTGTCTCTCTGCTGAGCGTACATGCCCTTTAGCAAAATTACAAAAAAAGAAAAGGCTGATGTCATCATTAAGAAACAAAATGATAATGCACATGTGTCCCTAACAAGCATAGGCTCAAAGTGTAAATCTTCACTGCCTGAGAATTCATTCTCCCTTCTTCCTAAGTTTGTTCCCTGCAGATGTCCTTCTTGGACTCCACGCATGGAGATGTTATGCCCATTGATGTGCAGCGATTGCCTTGGTGTGTGGAAGTGAGTTTTCTAAGATACGATGGGAAGGAGAGTCCAGAAGTGTTAGGTGAGGCTTTGCCTGCTTTCTTGCTCCCTGTACTCCAAGACTGGGTGGACATGGGGAATGAAAATGGGGGGATGTCAGTTCCTCGAGGTGGGCTTTGTTGGAATACCCCAGTGCCTTACCTTATCTTAAACTGCATTTTTATAGATGAAGCTTTCTAGGCTGAAAAATTTTCCAGAATTTTCTCTGACATCTGAGTACTTCTCTTTCCTCCAGCAGCAATATTCCAGTGTAACTGTGAGTACAGAGCTTTGTCGTGAGAGGCACGTCGGACATTTGGAACCCAATAGGGAGGAATAGAAGACACAGCAGAGTGACCAGCGAAGGTAGGCGTGTCAGTAAGGAAGGCTTTCTCTTCACTGACAGTATTCCATTGGGAAAGCAGCCCAGTGACTGCCAAGAGAAGTGCCGATGAAGTAGCCAAAAAGCACACCGACGCGTCAACACGCAGTCAGGCTTTCTGTCATATTTTTGCAGTCATTTCTTCTTTTTCAGTCCCCTAAATAGTGAAAGCAATTTATAAAGGTTAATATACATGTTCATGTGCTTATGTAGATATCTCTGATGAAGGTATAATAGCTATTTCTTTCTGTTTATAAAGAAAACAATGCATCCAGTCATCCCCACCAAAACAGTGACACAATCTGAACTTCTTATGAAAATAATTTACTTTGGTTTGTCTGTTCTATGCATGAAAATACGGGGTTCCCATTGTCTAAAAAATAGCATCATTTTCCACTTGCACTGAGAAGCTATCTCAGTATAGGCTACCTTAGTTAAAGCAGCATTTTTCCTAACGTAAAAGAACCATTCAAGTGATGAATTAGAGATAAAAAAGTTATTTAAGTTAGGTAACTAGAGGCAGAGTTGGGTATTTTTATAATCTTTGGGAGATGTTTATTAATATATTTTACCTCACAGCTTTAAAAATGATATTTTAAATTTATTTTTTCTTCCAACTTCATCTTTTCCTTCTCTTTGTCTTGCACACTTATGGATGAAAAACTATCACTGATTTTTTTTCCTAAAAATTATTTAACTTTATTTATTATTATTATCATTATTATTTTCCAGTTTGATCAGAGAGACACAGAGAGAGAGAGGAAGTGAGAAAGCAAGCCACCAGGTCTGAGACTTGAACCATGGTCGGCCATGTGGGAGTCCAGCGCCTTTAACCACTATGCCACTTGCTGGCCCCAAACTATCACTGGTTTTTAAAATTTGTTTTATGCCTTGAAAACGAACACCCTCACTGTTATGTTAGGTGTGAAAAAATCAGCCTAGCAGCCACTGGAGAGGGCAGTGTGATGTTGGAGCATCCCCCCCAAAAAGCACTATTTGAAGAGAACTGTTCATTTTTGTACTGGCTGGCAGCTCCCTGAAAACCTTCACTCACAGAGCTTATCTTTATTTGACCTCAAGTGGAACTCACTCTGTGCTAATAGCCTTTTCCCTAGGGCACTTATCAAAAACTCCCAGTAGTGATCACCTAGCATTGTAGCTGCCCGAGGTGTTGTCTTAGTCTCCTCAGGCTGCTATAACAAAAATACCCATGGACTGGGTGTCTTATACACAATAGAAATTTATTTCTCATGGTTCTGGTAGCTGGGAAGTCCAAGACCAAGACACCAGCAGATTGGTGTCTGGTGATGGGCTACTTCCCAGTTAACAGATGGTCCTCACATGGTGGAAGAGATGGGAGATCTCTCTGGGTCTTTTGAAGAGCACTAATCTCATTCATGTGGGTTCCTCCCTTCTGACCTAATCAATTCCCAAAGGCCCACTTCCTAATATCATCACGCTGGGTTAGAATTTCAGTCTGTGCATTTTGGACGATGCTTAAGCATTCGGTTTATTGCAGGTAGTTACAATCAATGACTAAAAAAAATTAAGAGCAAAAGCTGGGGAATGAGATGTCCATAGAGAGCTGTGAAATGTTCTGCCATGTTCCCACGAATCTGGAAGGTCACACACTTGTGTAAGCTTGTGCACAATCAGGAAGGACCGAGAAGATACAGTCTCTCCTCGAGCTGAGCCTGAGTTTCCGAATAAGCAGGAAGTAAAAGCTAAGCAAAGTGTTAACTGCCGGATCATTGGAAGCCTGTCCCAAAGTGTGCACAAAAACATGTGGGAAAGGCTGGGACACCGACCGGTTCAAGGCATTTAAGGAAATTCAAGTCCGATTCTTAGATGACAGCTAAACTAACCAAGCTTAGACCAAGCAGAGACTTAAATGGCTGTGCACAACAAAGACGATCCACTTCACACTTGACAGGCTTAGTTCAGCACGGTGGTACCAAACAAACAGCGGCAACAATAACATCAATGAAAAACAGCCACACATCCTGGGTAGAGGGGAAATCTGATTTTCAGAGTTGCTAAATTGTATTATTTTTAAAGTCCTCTTCTTTAAAGCTTCTAGCAAAAAGATTGTGAGTCATGCAGAGAAATAGGAAAGCTCATCAACGGGGCAGGGGGGCGGGGGGACTCAAATTGTCACTGAGAAAATTCCCATGTTGGATTTACAAAATACGGAGTTCAAACAAGTATGTGTTTCTCACTTTCCTGCTCACTATCCCTGTCTCTCTCTCTGGTGAGCACATATATCCTATGGAAAAACCCTCTTAAAGTAAAAGAAAAACATTTGCAGAGTGTACAGTAGTGTCACTCTGCTGAAGCAATGTGGGATCCATGTGGGAACCATGGGTTCTAGTCCCCGGATGACTCGTCCATGCAGCGTGTACCCACTTGATCCTGGCTGGTGGGGAAGGCTGGAAGGCTGGGGATTGGAGGTCGTGGTGTAAAATCCTGTTGAGAATGCTTGTCTCTCTCCTTGTCTCTGTTTCTGTCTTTCACTCTCGTGTAAGAAAAAGAAAGAAAGAAAGAAAGAAAGACCCTCCCAAGAGAACCAAAACAACAACAAAAATAATTTGTTAGTATTTTCTTAAAATATTTTCGGAAACATTACCCTGCTCTAAGCAAAGTCCAAAGTGCAAGTGCCGGAATATTTGAGGTTGATATTACCTCTGGAACGAGCAAACTCCTTATTATGGTGATTACCCTGATATTATTTATTTATGACTTATTATAATTCTTTATTAGATTTCTGAAAATAGTCTCTTTGCTTTCTGGTCATAATTTATATAGAATCACAGATTTTTAAAGATGGAATGGATTTTTGTTTACAGAGTTTTTTTTCTCTAGAGTGTGTGTAATTGTTGGAGAAACAGAGAGAGACAGAGAGACAGAAAATAAAAAATCACCCCCTAGGGAGGATGGCCATACCACAGTCTCTTCTCCTCTTGGGATTTTGGGCACGCAAGCACATGCATCTGATGTGATTTTCAAGTCGCCAGTTCTGGGACTCAAACCATGGTCAGGCATGTAGAAGTCCAGTGCCTTAACCACTACGCCCCCTGCAGGCCCCAAGGTGGAATGGATTGTGTCAATCTTATTATAAAAGTGAGCTATATGACTGAGTTGATCTTTCACTCTGTTAGATTGTACTTTAACTCAGATCTCTGGCTTTTCCCTCTAACATGATTTCTCCAACATAGTTTCAGTTTTTGGTTTGAAATCTTCAGTTTCCTTTTTGCCCAATATCATAAAGCATGCTTCTTAAAATTGATTGGATATATCACTGCACTGTTGAGCTGTGGTTGACAAAGTTAACTTTTTCCATTAGGTTGTATGTTTTTGACAATGCACCTTTCCTGAAAGTATTTGCTCTCATGATCTAAAATCTTTCTTGTGATAGTCCAGGGTATTTCCAGGTAGCTCAAATTTCAAAACCAAATTAACTGTAATGAAAAAGACCACACATAATCGTTCTGGTGATGAGGAGGCCAGGTACTTCCAAGTTTCAGATTTTGCAAATAAAAATACTATATTCTCAGACTGGCTCTATTACCTGGTGGTTAGGGCAACTTGATCCCACATGGCTAACTGTAGTTTGAGTCCTGGACCTGGTGGTTTGAGGGACATGTTGGGTATGTGGGCATGTGTTCTCAAATGCCAAAAGGAGGGAGAGATGGAGAAGAGATTGCTGTTTGACCTCCCCCCATCCAGAGTGCCCTTTCCTCTCTCTCTCTCTCTCTCTCTCTCTCTCTCCCTGAAAGTACATACTTTCTTTTTTTTCCCCTAAAGAATTATTTATTTATTTATTTATTATTATTATTATTTTACATGAGTTTTTGCCAGAGAAAGACAGAGAGAGTGGGAGCATGAGAAAGCAAGCTTCCAGGTCCAGGACTTGAACCACAGTCAGCCACGTGGGAATTCCAGCACCTTAACCACCACACCACCTGCTGGCCTCAAGCATACATACTTTCTAACATTAAAAAAAAGTTCTCAATTTGAATTTCATATAAACAACAAACAAATCAATTCTTATATAAGACACATTTGTGCTCAAGCAAAGTATTCATTATTTATCTGAAATTCAAATTTTATTTTGTATGGCAACACTATTCTAGGTGCTTCAGGTAAAACGCTGAAAGATTTGTGCTCTCACAGAGATTATGTTTTAGTGGGGACAGTTGGACAAAGACAATCAACCTAATTAATAAGTAAACTCTCTAGTATGGTAGAAGATTCATGCTTTAGAGGAAGAGGAGAGTGGGAATCCTTAGCCCGAGTGTGTGGCGATGTGGAAGGCAGGTTCTCATTTTACATAGAGTACTTGGTGAGATAAACTTCACTGTCTGGTGAGATTTGACCAAAAACTAGAAGCATCCCTCCAGCATTCAGTGGAAGAGTACTCCAGGCTAAGAGACAGTGTCTAGTATATTTGAGGAACCACAAGGGGACTAACTGGCTAGAGAAAAGTGAATGGGAGGGAGAGTAGGAGGAGCGACCATGGGAAGCCATCAGGTCTGGTGGGCCTTGCAAGGACTTTTGAGCCATTGCAGGTATTTGAGCAGGGGGGCGCTGTTCCCTGACTTCTTGTTTTAAAGACTCTCTTTTGCTCTGTGTGGACTAGGCTCGAGGAAACAAGTACAGAAGCTAGGAGGCCACCAGAAAGTGATCGCAGTTGTCAAGGGAGAGGTGATAAGGCCTAGGCTATGGTTGAGGAAGTTGAAATAGTAGGTTGTCGGGAAAGTCATGACATATTTTTTCTGTGTTCTTCTATGCAGAGCTGTGTCATGGCTTTCCAGACAGCCCAATACTATGAAGTGGTGAGATTCTGCAGGGTATTAAAGGTTGATCCAACAGGTTTCCTAAAGATGGCAGAAATATGAGAGTGAGAAAGAATTCAAGCGAAGAATTTAAGGATGGTAGGAGGGAGTTTAGTCAAGCAAGCGCTTTAGGAATAGAATC